TTTGGATTTTGAGATGCAGCCAACAGTATGTTTGGCTGTAAAAAAGATCTACATCTACAAAGTAAACAAAGGCTGCAGTATAACATTACTGTTCGACACTGAATTGGCATCTACAAAGTTCACATCTCGGGAAAAGCATTGGAGAAAATGCTCAAATCATTTTCACGATTTGAGCTGTACTCTAAAACCCCTCTCCCCTCAGTACCTCACAGATCTCCTCCACCCATACATCCCGTCCCGCACCCTTCGATCCTCAGACTCCGGCCTGCTCTCCATTCCACCTTCACGCCTCCGCACCTTCGGGGACCGTGCCTTCAGTGTCGCTGCCCCCCCACCCTCTGGAAAATCCGTAACGCCCCTTCTCTGAACATCTTCAAATCAACCCTGACAACTCATCTGTTCAACAAAGCCTTCCAACATTAACTCACTCTCCCCCCCCCCCCCCCCTGCAATGTAACACTTCCATTTCTGCCCCCTGTTTTATGTCTTGTCCTTATATGTTTCTCTGTTAAGCGACCTTGGGTTGATGAAAGGCGCTATATCAATTAAAGTTGTTATTATTATTATTACTTGCTAGAAACACATTTTGAATTTGAACAGTTTTTGGACTACAAGTCATGACGTTCCGAAAGATCACGAGCACAGATAAGGAAGTAGATTGAGAGAACTTAGATTTCCAGGTTTCAGCACCATGGAGAGAGGCAGAGTCTTTACCCTCAAACCAACCTAAGGACTATTTCAGGCATGTGTTTGTAGAGGCAGAGAGCCTTAGAAAAACGTAGCTTTAGAGGGAATAAAGAAGCAAATATGTGTTTTAAATAAATTCTCTGTGAAGTGAGTCGGTGTAATGTGTGATCCTCTCTTTGAAAGTTTTGCAACACCTACGCACCTTGAACAACACATCTCAGGAGACATAAACCTCTGCCCCTCACAATTGTATAAGACACCTTGCACACACTCTCACAAACGAATTATGATGAACTGAACTGCAAGTTCCTGAATGCTCTTTGTGTTTTCCATGCAGGCAAACACATGTGTGTGAATCAAAGCTTTTCTTAAACAAAACAAATGGCTCAATTAAAGGACAAGTAGCTCTAATTTCTCATGAATACATGCATGCGTGAGTGAGTGTGATGGTGTGTCAAGAGCGCAACCTTTCTCATACACAATCACACCTGATGAAAGAGGCAGGCTTTCTAAGGAAACATTGAGGTTTTTGAAAAGACAAAAGAGGAAAAAGAAAGAAATTGTGCAATGACAATGTAGCTCCTTAAGTGGGCAACACAGTTTTGATCAGTTTATCATATACTGGTATTATAAGTAGCTGAGAAGGATGCAGAGATGGTCATCAATGCCTTGCATGTAAAATGTTTTGGTCCAACACTCAGCGGTCATTTTTCCCCCTGCAAAAGCCGCTACTTATGCAAAGCCAGGAGAACTGTAGTGTGTAATCATAGGATACACTCCTGATGTGACTGGTTATGTGCTGTTGTTAAGTCAGGTGTTTTTCTAAACTGTAGAGTGGGTTGCTTCACTCTGCAGTAGTCGTCCTTCGAGTTCACAACTGTGGGTTCAGTGTGGTTTCTCAACTGCTGAGTGGGCTGTTTGAGTTGCGAGAGATCAGCTTTAAGGCAGAAATGCACCATGTGAGTGGCAAAACCTCCACTGAAAATGTTCTTTTTAAAGCACTCTGTCTAGTGAGGTAGGCTATAGGAAACCTAGAAAAAAAACAAGCTGTAAAATATATCCGGTGTTGGAAATTATTCAAATTATAGATGAGATTGACAGGTGTGCTATGTGTCCTGCAATGTAAAATGTACTGATCCGCTCTTAAGTGTTGTCATGATCCTAATTGTGCACAAATCAAAAATGATTACCCTTTGCTCTAACAGCCAAGCCTCGAGTGCTTCCTCTTAATAGCTCGAGTGGCACTTGAAACAGGCCCTGTGGACATATAAGTCTTTTTTTCCATGGAGAACGTGATCACACAGAAAACGATATTTTCCAGAGTTTTTGATAGGATACCAGTTACAGTGTTGTGTGAGATTTACGTGGGACAAAAACTCCCACACTCCTTGTTTCAATCAGCCCGGGGCTACATGGCTTTTTGCACTCTTAATAGTATTTCTTTTATGGATGGACGTCTTATATTTGAAAGGTTGTAGGAACATATGGTAGGAGTCAGAATAAAAAGCAGCAGAGATAGAGATGTTAAATACATGCTCATGGTTACAGCATCTAACTCTCTTTTTAACAAGACATCTCTTAGTCATCTCTCTCATTCTCTCTGATTCATTCAAGAAGGGGGACGATCTTTTTTGTTTGATTAATGTAAAAGCCGTTTGCATTTGGCTATTGAAAAAGTCCACTCACTAGTTATTCTCAGTTATTGGTATGGTTGAGTTTAATAACGTAGCTCAGTGACATTTTCCCTTAGGTTCTGTTTGTTCTATTAAAGGTAGGGTAGGTAAGTTTGAGAAACCGGCTCGAGATACACTTTTTGTTATATTCCATGGAATGCTCTTAACATCCTGATAGCAATTAATATCTGAAGTGCTTTGACAAAAAATCCATAACAAAATGTCATCTGTGGAAGCCGTAGTACTGTAAAAAGCACGACCAATCATTTTAGCCGGCCCGGCTAAAATAACTGGATGGCCTACCTGCCTGTCAGCCTTCCATCTGTGCACAAACTTATCTCGTGCCCTCATTGGTCATGTGCGCGTTCGTGTGTGTTGGAGGAGGGGCTCTGTAAGGAAGTGGCATATTTTCTCCGGCTGTGTATTTTCAAATTCTAGCGATCTCGAGCCGGTTTCTCAAACTTACCTACCCTACCTTTAATGAGAAAGCCGCTGTGTTTCTTGCTAACTTTAATGAGGTACTAAGTCCACGCAGCTTTTCATGGTGGCCATAGTTACTGTATCTTTTTATATACTGTACTAATAAGTGATATTTGGAAGTGTGTGTCATTTGCTTTGGCTCAATTCTTCTATGAGAATATTTATTTTCAAAACAATACAGATTTGAATGTCTTGTTCATACTAATGAATATTACTCATGTACTCAAACGTTTGAATACAAATGTCTACACATGCTATATAACCACTTGGGGTGTACACGGGTTACTGATCAAAACTGATGAGTTGATTCTCATCGTTAGAGCCATCACTAGTACATATTAATCCATTATGTTTTGTATTCTCTCAGATATAAAAGTTGACAAAAAGCTCTGGCCCGACACACAGCACCAACAGGATGCCCACCAATTCACCCATTACAAAATAACCTGTGAGGAGGTATATTGAAGTACTGCAGTTTTGTTTTTGTGGCAAATATTCTGTTCACTATATGACTTAACATGAAAGACCAATGATGATTGTTTTGCTCTTATTTATAGAGTATGTAACATATTGCTAAAAGTACTTTATGAACACAAAGGAAAGTGTGTTTTTTACCAAATACCAAAAACGTGTTGCTTAATAATATGGTACTTTGAATAATGGTGAAGAGTATCTGAAGGTGAAGGGTAAGTTTGTAAGTTTATATTGTTTGTATAAAGTGGTTTAGTTCAATAAGATAATGATTAAAAATGGATTTGACGGTTAAGCTTCACACAAATAGAATCACCCTAGAAATGATCCTCTTAATTTCTAAATGTGTGAACTTGAAAACTTCTTAATTTTCATTGCCTAAAACTTAGTTGACAAAGGATGCAATGCTCATCAATGCTAGAGTACCGGGAGTAATTCTTGTTCCATTTAAATGATCTTGTAATGGATAAGTCCAAGGCAAAAAAAAAGTTTAAATAAGAGAGAAAATTGAAAATAATGTTTCATAATGTCCCTAAATGTTACTCCTCCAGGTATCTTGCCCATTGACTCTAATGAAAAAATAGTCCTGGTTGAATTCTACAAAAATAAATGCCTATTACCTTGCCCAATAAAGAGCAAAGAAAATGGTCAGGAGGATACTCACATTTGATGTTAAACAATTTCATCCAAATAATAATAATCCCATCAGGGTGAGATACTTGTTTCATTGTTTTTGTTAGCAAAGAAAGACTTTTTTCAGTATATTCTGATTGAAGCGGGGCAAGTGGTATCATTAGTGGTAAACAGGGAACATCAACAACATAAAAACTATGCATAATTCAGTATATTTTTGAAGGCGTTCATTATCATCAGAAAATAGTTGAATTACAAGCTCAACGGTGCAATTATACCCATAGTGATGGCTCATCGAAATAGTATGATTTTGCATTATAGTTCATAGCAGGCCTCCTGGGTAATTACACACACTGGTATGACAAGCTTTTCTGAAGGACTCACCTGAGCTCATTCAACTGCTCTTACACATCAAACAGGAGATAGACTACCTTTGAACTTTAAAGAGCAGAAGAGAAAGAGACACATGAATCTGCTACAGCAGTGCAGTGTGTCAAACAAGTCACTATAGTGGCATATGAGCTGTGAAGATAATAATCTGTCAGTCAGCGCACCGCAGGGGTTAAAACCCTATCAGGAATTACTGTGGCTTTCATCAGATATGTGGTACAGATCAGCAGGAATTGGTGTTCTGGATAATGTCATAAACTGGGAGCTATAGCATTACAGTTGCAAGCAAACTAACCAGAATAAGGCATTTGGTTGAAACTACTGCATGGTGTCAGTTTAATGTTTTTTTATTATTATTATTGTAAAAGCAATATAAGTAAGTAAGATGCAATAATTTACTATGGACTGGTTTTTGATATTGGAGTTCACTGATTGAAGTGATATTTTGGGGGAAAGCAAGCTCCAAGGTGGCTTAAAACATGAAATGTGCAAAAATGCAAGCTAAAACACATCCACTACAGAATTTCTAAGAGACATTCATTAGTAATGAAATGCTTACTGCAGGCACAAATGCACAACGCCTTTCATTCAAAAATGTGAGTGATTGTTAGTGACTGTTATATAATCACCTTTGTAAATACAACACCAAGGAGGGACATTTCTTACCAGAGTTCCTCAGTTTGCGGTTCCTGAACACGGATATGATAACTAGCAGATTCCCCAGCACGTCCACCACCGTGGTGAAGATCAAGACGCTGGCCAGGATTGCTATGACCCAGGCGGGGCGAGCGCTCTCGTCCGTGGCCAGTGCGCGCTCCAGCTGCCCCAGCCGTGGCTCTGTCCGGTTCTTTATGAATGTGAATGTGTCCGGCATCACTGGCCCACAGCCCAACGCTGCCTTCAAGTCCCAACTGTGCTTTAAGTCCCGCAGGTACCGCCGGTACCTGTGTGTCCTAAACAAAACATGGGTCGCGCCTGGATGCCTCTCCACATTCCAAAACGCACGTAAAGTCTGCTACATAAAGTCGAGAGGAGTTCGTTTAACCAAGTGGTTTTCATTCGTGACCTTTATGTGTCACATGGAGTCTTCTCTTCATTTGTGTCCGCGCAAAAGTCATCCGTATGCCAAGGACAGCTGATCGGACACGCAATGGTGCCACGCCTCCTCCCTGGTGAGAAGATGTCACTTAATTGTCGTTCAAATAACGTTTCATAAAACTACTTAAATTCAAGTCTTCATCCTCTTTGAGTGCTTCTGGCTTGCTGCTTGGCATCACAGACTCGTGCGCCAACGTAAGACATGATGACAAAGCATGTCAAACCATTACACCGCCCTGGAGTCCTTGTGTTTTATTCAATATCATCTGCAAAAACCGAGGAACAAAGTGTCTTCCCGTTCCATTTTTGATGCCCTTACAATTCGACCAAGTACGACGCAGCCGGCGCTGTGTGTGCCGAGGAGGCTCAGTGCGCGGTAAATATCACGGAGATGCCCTCAGACTGCCACACGGCTCCGCTCTCCACAGATCTCTCCTCCTTTCTCCTCCTCTCTGTGATTTCCAAGCGCAATCTCCAATGACCATGCCGTGGCGGGCGTGCAAACAAAGACTCCCCTCATTTAACCTGCACGTACCCAGCGGTGGGTCTGCGCGGGAAGTCCAATCAGCCCACTGTGACTTATGTGGACCACGTGTCACAGACTATTTTAAGTGTGCACTAATTGAGCATAACAAGATACACATCTTCTGCTAGAGCTTAATGTTTATTGTATAACTCTGTTTTATTTGGTTTTCAACAGCCTGTGTAAGAACTTGAGAAAAACCGCTGGAGCTATGGGAGTCTTTCTCTCACACAATATTGATTCAACCAATATAATTTAGCAGAGTGGGCATGCATCCACAGGGGTGTCATTGTTGGACTCAGGACTATTTGATTGACTTTATGCGCCATGCAGTGAAAGCAAGTGGAGGCGGCAGTTTAATCCCATTCATCCATAACGCGACTCACTGGTGGCAGCCAGTTGAACTTTCCATCTCATCCAGTGGACGCATGTTTCATTGATGCTGTCAGCGCCTGTGGCCAGCACCAAGGGCGCCGGAAGCGGGGGGGCCAGGGGGCCATTGGCCCCCCCACTTTTCAGCCCTGCCCTACATTTCCGGAGCGGCGGATGCCGCGGAACACTGTACAAATCCCGTTTCAATAATTCCCCTCTACTCTAAAGTCGCATCTAAAACGCGATCTGATATAGCTGTGTATATTTTGTTATTTGTTATTGTTATATTCAATCTCATTAGCTAAAGGCATTCTTTAAGCTTGTAAAGGGAAGATGACAGCTCGCCTCTCACTCGCCACTCTACTGTAGAAAAAGGTAAATGTGTGCATTTTATTATAAAGTTGTGTATATTTACAGACTGTTGCAAAAACTAAGAAGCTTATAAACATCAGGTTTAAAACTAAAAGAGACAATTAAAGATGTTTGGAGTTTTATTTTAGTTATTAATTTACATTTTTTGTCAAAGAGATGCTGATTTGAAACCGTTCTTACATACAGTTACAGCATTTCCTGTATCTGCCGGAGAGAGGGGAGTTTGTCCCAAAGCTTGCCGCTGTATTTACTCCGTCCATCTGACAGGAGGGAGCCTCATGTGTCACTCCACGGAGTTCACTCCGTCACGGAGGGGAAGTGTGTAGGGTGTAGGGCGTGGTTTGGGATTGGGCCATACACACGCACTTTTTTGGCCCCCCCACTTCTAAAATGAATCCGGCGCGCCTGGCCAGCACCATGCGCTTGTTTAACTCTTCACCGCTGGAGCACAGCAGCAGGAGCAGACCATGTCAGCTTCAAAGCAGGGTGATGTGATGACCAGGCTACAGGCTGTGAGGTTAGCTAGATTGGCCAGCCTGTCCTCCTACAAAAACGACCATATAGGTCGATTGTTCAGCAGCTTATTACGACCCAGAGTCACGTTTTAAAGTGTAGCACCTCTAGTGGCCGTGTAAGAAACAACATTCTCCCGTTGATTGCAAACGCTCCGGAGGGTCGTTTATTCACAAATAACCCTCTCTGGAAAATCCTAAATTGTGCAATAGTTTGGCCATTAAAATGCTTTTTGATTAGATTTCTAGCGAGAAGTGTATATTGTACTTTTATAATCTACGTCCAGTGGATGTGTAGGATCTATAGTTTGATAGATATTACGAAGATGATTTGAGGTCTCGCCAGGAGAACGTGTATAATGCCCCTTTCACACCAACGCGGTTCCCGTTCTAGCTCCGTGCTAGAGCTTTTCTGGTTCGGAACCGGTTTTTCATTTCAGCCCCCGTTTTCTTCACACCGCCCAGAGCCCGACTGGTGCTGCCGCTGCTGCGTCATGACGTCACCGTTTACGTCGCTGATTTTCTCCCCAACGGCGTCGGGTCGATGATCGTGTTGCTTTTAATCATACGAAGCCAGATTAAATTAAATAATTACTTCTCAACCCTTGTACTTTTCTCCAGAGTGCCGTGGTTCATTGTTTATTAATGTGTTTCAGCGGCATTTACCGACCGCTGCAGTGCTGCCCGCTGTTTGGCATCACAACGTTGTTATGAAAGTTTCTCTAGTATAAAATGGGTGATGTTAGCATAGCAACCGAAGCTAAACTGACTATCTTGACTACTTGTTGCTATCCTATTGTGGCATAAGCTGGCACATTTTACCGGCATATTTTACCGGCATTTTTTCATTATGATTCTACTTCTGATAGTCGGACATGAGTCATGACAACCTGTGCAGCCCATGTATTGATTCCATCCGATAGCTGCTATAATACAAAACAAAACGTCTGCCTGCTCTCCACAATGATCAATGACAGCGAACGGATGGTCAAAGTAAGGTACAAATAAACAGAATCACACTAAGCCTGGTTAGTGTTGCCTGACTTTATAAAGTGTGTTTTTTTTAATAAATGTGTGGTTGCGTTCTAGTCACTTTGGTCAGCGCTACTGCTTGTTACAACTTTAATTTGCCGTACTCGCCATAAACTGTTATTGCTCAGGTTAATCCCGCCCCTGCCCCACCTCCAACGTAAGCGTGACGTATGCGGTTCTTGCTTCTAGACCGACAATTTTTTGGTGCTTGAAAAGCATCGGTTTTCGGAGCTTAGAGGCGGCTCCGCTGCGGCTCCGCTGCGGTGTGAACAGAAAAAAAACGGTGCTTTTCAGGCTTTAGCTCCGAACCGGCCCTGGAACCTTGTTGGTGTGAAAGGGGCATATGCGGCAGTTTCCATGTAAAGTTAGCATCAACCCTCACGGGGTGAAAACAGTTTTTCCGGTCTTGAAGTTTTCATAATAAAACCGGATGTATTCCCCTCACTGTCAAATGATTACACAGTGATATCTGCATTACTCATCCACTAATAAACATCAGTTTATCCTTGTTAATGACACAATATTGATTGGTTTAAATTGTGTACAATGCTTTTGTGGTTTTAACCTTCGATTCGGAGAAACAAATAGTTTTTTCGGAGTTTAGACACTACAGAGTTTCCGAAGACACTACACTACCCAGAATCCCGAGCTATCGTTTGGGACTACAACATCCGCCTTGCTTTACAAACCCGTGCTTAGTCCTCAAGCTCTGTGATTGGATGTTGGAGTGGCAGTGCGACAAGGTTAGGCCGAGCGTCAAACAGCTCTTTGAAATGGAATGGAACCACGGCAGACTTTCCAAAACTGGACTTGGACGGGTCCAGCCCAGCCTCCATTTAGTTACTTTGCAGATTCTGATTAATGATGTGAAATATAAACAACCCTTAAATCAGACTTTAGTTACACCTGAGTCAAATTCAGGGAAGGTGATTGTCAAGTGCCAAAATAAACTATGCAATATATTAGACGTTAAGTACTTTGTCAGACTTAATATTTATCTGTTGATACCCCCAACGTTTTTTTCTTATTCAAAAGAAGACCTTAACTTAAAGTATTCTTTAATGTTTAAATAAAGCCTTATTAGTTTGTCTGTTTTGTACATCCTCCTGTTAATATCTTTGGACGTCCTGCACTAAACTGTTTTATTGTAGAGATCACTACAGTATCTTCTTGATATTTTCTATTCTATATTTCTATCATTGACCTTCTACATTCCCCCTATGTTGTATGTAGGCTACTCTTAATATTTAAATGTTTTCATCAAATATAACATTCAACAACAAAATTAAATAACGTGCTTTAACCACTAGGCAGTGCGGGTTAAAAAACCACTGGTCTAGTTAATAAAACATAATAATATCAGCTATTGAAATTCTGATTCCATAGATGTGTCTCCCATCACCCAAAACCCCTGACTATTCTCTCAACTCAGTATATTACATTCTTTAATTCAAAGAAAATCAGTAATATCTTTAAAAACTACAACTCCCTTTCTATCAGCTGTGCACCGTTATGGTGTAAATACAGCCTATTTACCAATTGGATCAAATATAAAAGTCAGCCGAATTAGTGTTGATACTGCAAGGAGATGTATTGTGTAAAAAGAAATGGAAGATGTTGTGTAATTGCTGATATATTCATGATCCACGTCACGTATTCAGTTTCGGCGGCATTTCTTCCTGTTTGTCCAAAGGTCTTCTAATCAGGGCTCTATAAATACAGAACTACGGCAGATGTGTAATATTTAATGCAGCCGAACCGTGTATTACAATGCCGTTATGTGATGACTTCCAAAGAGAAAAGCAAGAACACTCGGAATAAAGTATTATTTTTAAAAAATGTTTTCCGATTTCATATCGCATAAACACCACATCCCGACGTGCATTGCGGCTAAAACATCCAGGATTATGGGTAGTTCGATGTTTTAGCCTATCAAAACCTCTGAAAAAAGAAATGTGTCTCTCAGAA